GGATGAGTCACGTGCCCTGTACTAGGGTCATGATGCCATGGGGACGCCAACAGCTGCGCACGCAGTTTGAGTATAAGCGTACCTAGGTCACTTATGATGGTCGTTACAGGCGCTGCCCTTCGACTGAGCAGGGAACAGAAAAAGGCCTTCCGGAGGACTCCGTGTGTTGGTTGTGAGAGTCGTCCAGGCTTTTTTCCTGGACAAAGAAAATCAAGAATTGCTGTGAACAGCGCTGAACGTTCTAAACTATGCAATCTCTTTCCTAAAAAAAAAATGAATTGCCGTTAAAAGGCGAACAACCTCTGGATATCTAACACTAAAATGGAGAAAGTTATGCGTGCACGCCATCATTGTTATCGCTTCGGCGCGGGCTTTTCTTTGCCCGCCGGGAAGTTAAAGGCCTTAAGCAACGCGAGCCAGCCAGAGGTCTGAAAGGGGTCTGGCACTGGTAACCTCCTTATTAGTAACAGGCCCAAGGCAAACTTATCCCCGAATCTTCTCAAATCTTACAGCGGGCTAAGAAACGGGCGTCCTGCGATGCTAATAAAGAGAACCTAACGGCAAGCTTCCATCCTCTCTACAGGAAACGCGGTTGATCTTAAGGGTTGGGTTCAAGGCCTGGCCGGGGCATTATGTTGAGTGCTTGGGCAAAACAATAAAATTCTTACACTGCGTCTCTTCACCCATGAGTATAAATAGATACTGTCCCTCTTTACCCAGGAGTATAAATGGATACTGTCCCTCTCCACCCAGGAGTATAAGTGGATACTGTCCCTCTCCACCCCAAAGTATGAATGGATGATATCCCTCTCCACCCAAGAGTATAATTAGATACTGTCCCTCTCCACTCAAGGGTATGAATGGATTCTGTCCCTCTCCACCCAAGAGTATAAATAAATACTGTTCCTCTCCACCTAAGAGTAGAAACGAATAATGTCCCTCTCCACCTAGTCACCGGTTGTTCGAAGGTGGTATATCGCTATCCAGTGGATAAATCTTTATCTGGTGGATAGTGCAGTACGTTTTTTTTTTGTCACTTATCTGTTGGATAGCAATTTATCTGTTTGTTGGCGTTTTCTGACCTTTATAAAACTGGGCCCAGGAGTTTAAAGGTTTATTTTAGAAAATTTGTTATCAGAGAAAAAACAAAAGAAAACATGACACTAGGTAAATATTGGGGAAAGTTCAATTCATTGGTGTGTGTTGAATTTGGTTGGGGAGAGATATAGATATCAAGTGTGAAATAATTTGGGGAATACTAATGTTTGGAGTAAACTCCTAGGGTTTCGTTTTAGTCTCAATAGTTCGAATATTTTTAAAATCAATTAGACTCCAAGTTTTCTTTTGAATTAATCACAAAAGCTAAAATAATCAAGTGTCATGGGTTTTAAAGAGGTTCTAGCTTTGAATAAAAGAAAATTAAAAAGCAAATGAAAACTGAATCGAATTTAAGAAAAAAACTATGGAACAGACTTGTTCGCTAAAACACTTGACAATTAGGCGTCAAACGTTTTTTTTTAATAAAATCTATCAGTGGATCAACTCATATATTTTAAAATATGTAAATGAATTATGGGGAAAAAAACCTCTAGAGAATCAATTTTTGAAGCAAACTCTTCGAGTTTGGTTATTGTGTCAAAAGCTGATACATTCGACAATAAGGCTCCAAAAGAAAAAATGCTTTTTTCTTTTTAAATAAAATAAGATAACAAATAAATTAGGAAACCTAAAGTAGAAATCTGAACAAAAGCAATCAGACTTCAAGACTGTTGTTGAAATTATCTAAAAACTTTCGAATTTAGAAAACGTATATCGTCAGAGTATAAGACTTATAATGGATATAGAAACGAGTTTTGAAAAGACTTAGAGAAAGACCAGTGTTTGAAAAATACTTCTTGCCTTTAGTTTAGCCTCAAGAGCTAAGACAGTTGATAATCAGGCTGCATGGCAAAAAGGTCTTATTTTTACCAAAAAAATTAAAAAGAGAAGGGGAATAAACACACTCCCCGACCTATGCTTGTGTGTAGATTTTTAAAAGAATGAACTCCAGGGAAAACTTGAAAAGCATCAAATTGGGACCGGTCTATTTCAATTTGGTTTTCTCCTCAAAAGCCAAAATATTTATCATTCGGCTCCGAGTTCTTTATTCTTCTTTACCTATTTCTGTTCAAATATTTTACAATTCAAGCTATTGATGAAAATTTGCTTTCAAATAAATTTTTGAGGATTTTTCCAGCATATAGTCCTTGAAGTTAATCTTAGAATCAACTGATTAACAGAAACCGTGTTTTAAACTTCCAGTTAAATCCATCTCAATTAGATAGCCTTACAGAAGATTGCAATTATGATCATTTGATAGGTATCCAAAACATTAACAATTCTAGAAATCGAAGTTGTTTTCTTGTTTTTGTGATTTTCTTTTCTTTGTTTTCGACTGTAGTTAGTTTTGAATTGCACACATTCACTTAATCAAGGTTCGGGCGTTGAATGTAGACCAGATATAAAAGCTCGGAGATGGCCAACATACTGAACAACCATCCCCCTTTCCACCTTGAATAAGCACCCTCTTCTTGCCTCACTTCCTTCCTTAGATAATAGGGATACAATGAAAACCTATTGCTACTGACACTTAATTTGTATCTCTTTAAACTTCAACCACAGCTAAATCAACACAGGTTAATAGTTTGTTAATAAGAACCCCCCTCGATCAAGCACCTTCCTCCCGGTGAGAAAGCGCCCAGAAAGATGAATCGTAGCATGCTTATGCATTTATCTACATAAAATAGGGGTCACCGAGCAAATAAAGGCAAAGCGAGGCTGTAGTTTTCCTAACCATTTATGTCATGAAAAAAAAAACCTTTAAATGTTAAGAATAATTTCATAATATTTTGATGCCATTATCGAGGGAACATGACAGAAGTGTGTTTGTGTCGATACATCATAGAATTTGTTTCAAATTATCAAAACCATCTTCAGTTACCTTAATACTAAAACTCTGAGCACGATGTGTATATTTGTATAAATACGTTTAAAATTAAAATAGGAATTGAATAAGTAAATAAGTGATCAATACAACAACAATGAAGGAAAAAATTTCTCGCTGCTGCCTCAGGAGTCACTTGGTTCAATAAAAACTGTCGTGGCGACTACGAATGGGCAGAAGTTCGTCTTACAGCGTACGTGCTGTACTGTCTAATAAGTTCCCCCTTCTACATGTCACTCTGTAATTTAATTTTCAACGGTAACAACAACAAGAAGAACACTGCACTTGAATCCAATGTGTATTAATACATAAGCTATTTACCTTGGGAAAAGTCGGAACAGAGTTTCATCCATCAATTCGCGCCGTCGAAATTTTCAACACTTTGATCTGCAGATTTAAAGGAACAATCGCCGCTTTTCGCAGAACTGACGATATCCAAGTTAATAAGTTAATAAATGACCTCTTTCTTGGCCACAAACTTGCTGAAAAAGACGCTGAATTTCTTTTTTAGTTTGTAAGCTCTTTCCACGTTCAAGACTGATAGTAAATTCATGAATTTTAATTTTTTAAATGATTTGTAACTCAAATGAGTTTTCCGACTTTGAACAACGGGCTGAATACCAAGGACAAGCTTTTCGGTTAGTTTTTTGCGATCGTAAGTAATAGTTGGCTATTTGTAAGACTTAGTGGACTCTAATAAAGAGGTAAAAATATCGCGGCGACCCTAGCAATACCACAACTATTGCATGTAGATAACTCTCCAGTTATTAAAATCGTTGTCCTGATTCAAATTAGACAGCGCACGAACACTAGCCTTTCGAAGAGCTACTGCTAAATTCCAAATTATCTAATTTATTTCCATTTCATTTTATTAACTATCAGCTCGCTCGATCTTCCTGGAATCGCCATCATTTTTTTTCGATTCCCTTGCAATTTCGCGATAGAGGTCTCTCCTTTATTTCAAACTACACCTGCCTCGACTAAGAAAATTACGGTCGAAGTAATAGGTGTATTTTTTCCAATTTCCAATAAAAGGTGAAAGCCAAAGATAAAAGAAAAGGAAAGGAGAAAGAAACGTGCAGTCGAGCATCAACCAACAACCTCGCGCTTATCCTCACGAGGATAATTTCTTTCAACCTCTCAAGAGAACATCAACTGTTGACTTACTCTCTTGACTTCTCTGTAACAAAACTTGGCTCCATGGGACTGGTCTCATTTATCCCCTGTAGGGGGGGAGAGAGAAAATTGGACGATACAGATGCTACAATGGTCATAAGCGGTGCTACAAACTTGAAGATTGCTGCGCGAAAGGCTTCCTTGCAAAATATTCGTTCATAGATCAATGGTAAAACTAGGCAAGAAATTGCTTTAGGTCAAGGTTTCAAGTGGATTGTTGAAGGTCGAAAGTCCTCGAAGCACGACATCTATCAAGGAATGGACGGATGCTATGCCAACGAAATGTTGCATACAGCTCTTTGTCAACGTTAAGATTCTAACAATATTTTGTATGGTGTCGTCGGATTGAACTACGCGTGGATCAAGCGATCTGTTACAGAACCGGACACATCAATTGACAAGGAATATGATATGTTTTCACTCTTTTTATTTTATTATGCAAGGCAAGCTCATATTTTTAAGAACCAGATGTTTCTTATATCAAAATACAAGTCAGCTTCATGGTTTAAAGAAAAAAAATTACCCCAAAGTAAATGTTGCTGCAAATTAAAGTCAAATATTTCAGAGGTTTCAAAGCGTGGATTGCATTCGGTTGTAAGGTTGCAGAAAAAGCGAGGAGGAACAGCGAACATCCCAACACCAAAATCAGCCACCGCTTAAGAAACGACAAATGTGTTGGTTTTGGTGCGAAGCTGACGTTGACTGCAGACCAGCCGAGAACCCCAAACCACGTTTCCATTGAATTTCTTTTTAATGGTTGTTCTTAACAACTCTGTTTTTCTTGCGTCGGATCTGTTCTGTTGTTTATTAACGACGCCTTTTTGAAGAGAAGTCTTTTGCATTCTTGTTGTATATCTCTTTTGAAGAAAGCATAAGCTATAGGGTTTATTCCGGAGTTAATAATTTGAAGAGGTATTTTGTAATGAAAATCGTTACATGATTGACCAGTCAAAAATAATAAACTACAACGCATCATTATTCCGTAACACGATAGAAACACACACGTTATCAAAGCCACCCATCTTACCGCTGACGCCTTGTTCTGAGTTTTAGCTCTAGCCACCATATGATTAAACCGTAATTGCTTAGCTAAAATGCGATCTCTTGAGTAAACAACAAGAAACATGGATGCAAGAAAAAAAATTAGAATTACGCACAAGATTATCTCGAAAAGCAAACCCAAGTAGCCGAGCATCGTCCTGGCAAGACCGATTCCACTAGGTCTAATCGACACTATAGTAAGAGAGAAAAGAAAAGGAATTCCCCAAGATGTTAGAACCATTTGAATGACTCGGCGATGCCTCATAAAAGTCAAGTATTTCAAAGGGTTCACAACAGCAACATAACGTTCTAGTACCAAACTAAACAAATTTGTTCCAGAGATGTAAAGAATGAACACCCTTACATATATCACAATTAATCCCTCTTTTGAGCGTGGAGTACATTCGGTTGCAAGGCTGCAGAAAAAAAGCGAAGGAACAGCAATCATTCCAACACCAAGATCAGCCACTGCTAAAGACACGACAAATGCGTTGGTTTTGGTGCGAAGGTGACGTTTAATGCAGACGAGGAAGATGACAAATCCATTTACAGCCATCGTGAGAATGCTGAGGAACCAGCAGAGAACCCAAAACCACGTTTCCATTGAATTTCTTCCAAATGGCTGTCTAGGACTTTTCAATTTGTTTCTTCGGTCAAGCCAAGAGTGTTTTGAAAGGTTTTAACGGTACGAAATTTAATTGTGTTTATATAGAGTTTTTATTCAGCCATCTGGCCCCAACCAACCAACCAACCAATAGTTAATTAGGGAATTATATGCTTTTTAATTAAGTCATATTCAAGGCTGCAAACATCCATCACTTAACAACGTTCTTGTCGGACGCTTCGTGTACGGAGTTTGACGTCTGTTTATAGATTTTCAAGAAGAATAAACCAATTGCAATCAGAAATTGATAACAATCGCGAGACATTTTTGACTTTATCTTCTAGTGTGTTTTAATTAAAGTAAAATTCGGGCAGTCCTTTTTTTTTAGACTATCGGTACAGCATGATAGTGCAAATAAGATGCGAATTAACGAAACTTAGCCAACAACAAATATTTCAAATAGCAATCATTTCAAAATTATCGGTTAGTGTTAAGCGTAAATCGCCCCCTTTTATTATTAAGTTTAAAACGTTTTAAGAACTGTTCAGTCGTAAAGCAATTCGGACGCGGAAAAATACTCAGCGATGCTACACACCAAAACGTCTAATAAAATAGATTTATCTACAGCTTGTTTTGTATCAGTTGCAACCAAATAACTCTTTTTCATACTCGTTTTAAAGGTCATCCTGTGAAATACTTGTGGGTCAAGTGCGTCACTTTTCTTTGAAAAATTGTTTGCTAAACACACGAGCAGGAATTAAAAGCATTTCACAAAGACTTATCAAGAAAACATAATTGTAAAATTCCATCAAAGCGCTCGCTTTTGACAATCTCTCCTGACATACGACCGATGGATTACATAACTTGAATATTTGTCAAGCAGTTCATTTTTAGTCGAACGAAGGTCTTCCTTAACGAGCATCTCCGAGATAAGTTTTCATAGAATAAAAAGTGTTGGAAACGTTATATCGTTGTTGCCTACGCCACCAAATGTGAAAAATTTTCAAATGAAAACGAGGAAATTAAAAGTATATATATATATCAATGAATCTTATGTGAACATTGACTGTTTAAGGTGATCGTCAATTCCCCGTGAAATTAAACCGTGACAGCTGATGGGGAAGTTGCACGTATGCAAATCGACTGTCGTTGACGAAAAGTCAGGCAATTCAGCACTTTTTTTCCAGTGTTTATCATTTCAAAGTAATCACGTAATTCATCAACAAGAGCTTAATACTCTAAAACATTTAAGAGAACATGCAGTAAAAAACACAGCAAAATTGAAGAGGACAATGATATTTTTATCGCTGTATCTTTAAAATATAAAACGCAAGCTCACAGCTATAGGAACCAGATGTTTCTAGGACTAAAATACATGCTAGCCTACATGATTAATTTAAGAAAAACATTTTCTCCAGCAAAGTATGGCCTCAAAATAATCAATATGAGGTCTTATCAAAACTACTTCTCTTTAACAGGAGACTCTTTGTTTCATTGGAAGCTTTTTGATTCTGAACCGGAAGTCCTCGGAATCTTGGAAAGTTTTAAGTATATGCATCAGCTAATGTTTTTCTTGCGTCGGAACTGCTCTGCTGTTATATAACGACGCCTTTTGAAGAGAAGCCTTTTGCATTCTTACTTTATAGAAAGTGTAAACTTTACGGTTTATTCCGGAGTTAATAACTTGCAGACTTATTTTATAATAAAAATCGTTACCACATTTATGACCAGTTAAAAATTATAAACTACAACGCAAGAATATTCCATAACACAATAGAAACATACACGTTGCCAAAACCACCCATTTTACAGCTGATTTGTTCTGTGTTTGAACTTTAACGATCCGATGATTAAAATTCAGTTGCCTGGCTACAGTGCGATCCCTAGAGTTCAGATTGTAAATTGAACAAAAAGCTGATGGGTGCAAGAAAAAAGATCAACTTTACGCACAAGTTTATCTCGAAAAGCAAATACAAATAGCCGTATGAATTGAGTCTTATCGACAATAAAGAAAAAGTAAGAGAGAAAAGAAAAGGAATTCTCCAAAATGTAAAAAACATTTGAATGACTCGACAGCGCTTCATAAAAGTCAAGTATTTCAAAGGTTTCACCACGGCAATGTATCTATTTACAACCATCGTGAGGATGCAGAGGAACCAGCCGAAGATCCAAAACCAAAATGTCATTGAATTTCTTGTTTGAGAAAATTTTTTTAAGCAAAAACGTTTCAGGCAAAAAAGAATTGTTTATACAAGGGTTTTATAAAACCATCTCGCTCCCATCAACTCTTAAAATTTACTTAGGACAATGGATAATGTTTAGTTACGTCGCATTCAAGGCTGCAAGCATTTATCATTCTAGAATGTTCTGTCAGACGCCTTCTGCACATAAATTTGACGCCAGTCGTTGGTTTCAAAAAAGAATGGACCAATCACAAATTGAAAACAAAAGCGGAATATTTTCTACTGCGTCATCTGATGTATTCATTTCTCAAAACTACAGAAGTGTGCAGATAAGATGTGAAATAGTGGAAATTAGCCTCTAATGACAATAATTTCAAGCGTGAATCGCCCCTTTTAATATCAAATGAGTGACGTTAACAAATAAAGAAGCTTCGTTTTGTTGTAAAGCAGCAGTAAGCAGCTGGAGCACAAAGGAGGAAACACGAGACGTGGTCGAGTGCTTTTTTTGCTTTTTGGTGCTTGGCATGTTTATAAACCTCTCATTTGCCTTTCCTTTTGCTATTTGTCGGGTCGGTGTGTATTCGTCGGTAACTTGATCCGAAATTTCACTCTTTACCTGCGTGTTATAATATACCTGAAAAAAATTACGCACTTCTGAATGGCTGAAAACAAGTCCATTTTTCATGCAATGCAAGTGCAAAGTTGTAACACGAATGCAGTTTTGTTGTCTTTGAAAAATTTACTTGGGCTTGCTAACACCAAATTGCACTCAAAATCATGTTGTTACCTATATTAAAAATTATACAC